TACTGTGAAATCTCGTTGGCAACACTGCCTTGAGTGGTAGGACATGCGACCCCCCGCCCCGGGCATTAGATCACTGGCAGTTGTGTTTGTACGAAATAATATAACTGTGATAAAGATGTTAAATAAATAACGTGAGATATGTATTAACTGCTTCTCCATTACATCATATCAACCCTGCTACCCCAATACAATTACAAGAACACTTAAGTTAATATTACAAAAAATATTGCAAGGACTTCTCGTCGTAGTATAAAAAAACTATAGGACATACGTTTTTCAAAGTATATTTGACTTTGGTTAAACGCACAAGTTTAAATCTAATTGTGAGACTAGTAACCATTTAGTGATTCGTTTTTACGAATTTGACTACACAGTCAATACAAAATAAACTGCTCGTCATAAAAATCGACGCACCTAGTTTTTGGAAAATATTTGAAAGCTCGTTATTGAAAAATTACTGAATCGCTTTTGAAAATCTTTGTAAATTCTGAATAGCTGATTCTTTGACACATGTCTAATTTTGGGAATACTTTTTTGAGATTTTGTGAATATCGCGGCTTACTACGATTATATGCCAATTTATCGAAAATTGTCGTTATTTCCCAGTTTAGTCCAAAAAATGAGCAATGGTGGATTCTTTGACTTACGTCTAACTTTGAGAATACGATATTGTGCACATAGCATTATACTACAGGGTGTTAAAAAAGGGATGTTTTTTTCCAAAATTTCAAATCCCCATTCACAGGGCAGTTGAGCTTGATTTGATAATGGTAATACCCCTTCCTAATAACAGTTAGGTTATCCCTCGGGACGTTTTCGAGATTTTGTGAATTTCTTGGCTAACTACGATTATATGGCAATTTTTCGAAAATTCACGTTTTTCTTCATTTTAGTCCAAAAAATGAGCAATAGTTGATTCTTTGACTCTTATGTCTAGTTTTGGAAATACGATATTGTGCACATAGCATGATACTATACACTCAGAGAAATATCAAGTTATGAAAAGCATATGAAATTATATTAATTTAAATTATCGGGTAAATTTGATTTAAATAGAAAAATTTGTAGTTTTATATTCATTTACCAACAGTTTTACAATTTTTTGAAACACTTTTAAAGTGTACCCTCTTTAAAATATACAGGGTGTTTCATAATATATGCGCAGGACTTCAGGATGTGATAGATCATCCAAAAAGATGAAAAAAGTCGCTATTAACTTACCCTCTAAAATGCACAATTTTCGAGATACAGGGTGTTGAAATTTTAGAAAAAAAATCGTTTTTTTCGATTATCTCTGGAACCGTTTGTCGTACAAAAAACAGCTTTTGTAAGCATTTTTTACTCATAATAAGCTATGTTTTGTGCCAGAAAAAAATTTTTTTTACTCATAATTGGTGGAGATTTTGAAGGGGTAGCGGGTGATTTTCTCCTCAACTTTAAGGCCCCTGAAAAAAGTACGGTTTTGAGAAGCCCATTCGAACCGCCAATTTTTTCTACACAAAAAAAGGTACTCTTGGTCTTAAGCTCTAAAGTTGACCGTTTTCGAGAAAAATCAACTTTTATGTTTAAAAACATGTTCAATTAAAAAAAAATTTTTTTTATTACTATATAAACAAAATTTATTTTAACGTTAGAAAAACTAACAAAACCAAACGATAATTGCAAAATTAAAAAAAAAATAAAAAATGATTTTTTACACAAATGCTGAAATGTTCGAAATGCGTTATCTTTACGGTTTGGAGAATTAAGCAAAGACAACTTTTAAATCATTTTTTATTTTGCAATTATGGTTTGGTTTTGTTACTTGTTCTAACGTTAAAATAAATTTTGTTTAATTAGTAAAAAAAATTATTTTTTTTTAAATTGACCATGTTTTTAAACATAAAAGTTGATTTTTCTCGAAAACGGTCAACTTTAGAGCTTATGACCAAGAGTACCTTTTTTGTGTAGAAAACATTGGCGGTTCGAATAGGCCTCTCAAAACCGTATATTTTTCAGGGGCCTAGAAGTTAAGGAGAAAAACACCCACTACCCCTTCAAAATCTCCACCAATTATGAGGAAAAAAAAATTTTTTCTTGCACAAAACATAGCTTATTTTGAGTAGAAAATGCTTACAAAAGCTGTTTTTTGTACGATAAACGGTTCCGGAGATATTCGAAAAAAACGATCATTTTTCTAAAATTTCAACACCCTGTATCTCGAAAATTGTGCATTTTAGAGCGTAAGTTAATGGCGACTTTTTTCATCTTTTTGGATGAGTTATCACATCCTGAAGTCCTGCGCATATATTATGAAACACCCTGTATATACAAAAAGAAATCCATTTATTTCATTGACTTTCTCAAAGTTGTTTCAAAAAGATATGTATTATACAATTGTTATGCACCTATTAATTTAATGGGAAACACCAATGACGCCAAAACATATTTGAATCCCTTTGAATTATTATCGTTTTGAATGATTTTACAACATTTTTTCACTCAGTGTAGGGTGTTTTTCTCCAAAATTCCAAATCCCCATTCACAGGGCAGTTGAGCTTGATAGTCCTAATACCCCTTCCTAATAACAGTAGGTAATCCCTCGGGACGTTTTAGAGATTTTGTGGATATCTTGGCTAACTACGATTATATAGCAATTTTTTGAAAATTGTCGTTATTCCCAAAAATGAGCAAACTACGAAGGGTATCGATTAGTTATCAACACATCGTTTCCCCAGTTTGCATGTTCTTGTGCCCATCTTCTTCTAGCAGAAAAAGAGGGCAGGCAGCTCTTCGTCTTGCCTGGTATGCAATCTTACATCCGTCATTTTATTTTTTTAAATGTGTTTTGCTGTTTGAAAAATGTTTTCATATTCGACGACAAAAATGCGCCATATTTTTTAAACTTTCATAGTCAACCGTTTGTAGAAAATTGTATGAATATAGCCTACATAAGTTTACGAGAATAATTTAGTTTGGTTTGCGTTTTTATTTTGAATTTAACCGAAAAAAAATTGTTTTTGTGTCAAAAATTTCACTTTTAATGAATAACGCAACGAACATAAACTGTAAGCACGTGACCTACCTTAAAACGGTGTGTTGTTACCTTCCGTAGTTTGCTCATTTTTGGGAAGTGAAGAATAATGTGAATTTTCTAAAAACTGCCATATAATCGTAGTTATCCAAGATATCCACAAAATCTCGAAAATGTCCCGAGGGATTACCAGTTATTAGGAAGGGGTATTATGACTATCAAGCTCAACTGCCCTGTGAATGGGGATTTGGAATTTTGGAAAAAAACACCCTGTAGTATAATGCTATGTGCACAATATCGTATTCTCAAAATTAGACGTAAGTCAAAGAATCCACTATTGCTCATTTTTTGGACTAAGCTGGGAAATAACGACAATTTTCGATAAATTGGCATATAATCGTAGTAAGCCGCGATATTCACAAAATCTCGAAAACTTTCCGAGGGATTATCTTACTTATATTAGGAAGGCCTCATGAATGGGAATAACTTGAAATTTCGGAAAAAAATACATCTCTTCGTTTAACACCCTGTAGTATAATGCTATGTGCAAAATATCGTATTAACAAAATTAGACATAAGAGTCAAAGAATCAGCTATTCACAATTTCCAAAGATTTTCAAAATCGATTGAGTAATTTTCCAATAACGAGCTTTCAAATATTTTCCAAAAAACTAGGTGCGTCGATTTTTATGACGAGCAGTTTATTTAAACTAAGAATTTCTTAACTTAATTGTTTCAAAAATTTTCGAAACAAGCGTGATTACTAAAGATGGGATATTTAGGTACTAAAAACTGAAAAATAGGTAACTAAAAAGGTACTAAAAAAAATCATTTTAGGTTAAACAAACAGCATTTTAGATTAAAAAAACATTAAAAGTTCACGTTTCGTTTATAATTTTGTTTAGCCGCATACCCAAACAAAGAACATACCCACAATAAACTATTTCTATGCAATAAACTGTGTTTCACTAAGTGACACTCACTACACAGAAGTTCTATGCTGCCGTGCTTAATGAAAAAAATTTTGCGATTTTTTGTTTACAGCATTTTCTACTAGAACAATTCATCCCCGATACTCAAAAAGCCGTATATATATAGATACGGTTTTTTGAGTACCGGGGATAGACGCAGGATGAATTTTTCTAGTAGAAAATGCCTTTAACCAAAAATTGCAAAATTGTTGGTTAAGGCGTTTTCATTAAGCACGGCAGTATGACAGAACATAAGCTCACTACAAAGACGGTAAGGTAAAGAAAGTTACTGTTACAGTCTGTGACCATAAGAAAAAATTCTATACCATTGAGTTGCACGCCCTGGATAAAATACTGGCGTAAAATTTAAAAAGAACACAAAAAAATAAAATAAGTAAAAATACATAATAATATGTAACAAATCTATAGGTGAAAATAAACAGACAAATTAAAAAATATGTAACAAAAGTATAAAAAGGTAGTTTAAAGCAAAAACCTCCAAAAAAGGTAAAAAAGGTGAAAACAAGTTAAAAAAATAGGTAACAAAAGTATAAAAAAGGTAGTTTAAAGCAAAAACTTCCAAAAAAGGTAAAAAAGGCAAAAACAAGTTAGGTTCATATAAAAGAAAATCTTTTAAAACACATTTTGGCATTATTGGTTTTCAAATAGTTAAATCGCGATGCATCGGTTCAAAAAATGTAAAATAACTAAAATCCCATCCCTAGTGATTACATTAACAGTAAACTAAAAAATTGATAATTAAGATTACTCAAGGAATATATTTTTTTACCATTTTGAATCATCCCATCTCATAACCAAATGATACATAGGTATATGTACCTATATATGTATAAGTATATATTTTATATAATTTACACATAATATGTATATATTATATGATCCTGTAGGATATATATACATATATATATATCACAAAATAAAGCAACTTGGTAAAAGTGTCTAAATTTTATTACAAAAAAATAACAAATACAAACATATAGGTAGATTTAAAAAATAAAATCATTTACAAATTGTTATTTGAAATAGGTTATCCTTACTTTGATCAAACATTTAAAAAACAAAATCATTTACAAATTGTTATTTGAAATAGGTTATCCTCACTATCTAACGTTGTCTCTAATTTTCTGGAGTACTTGTACAGTGTTGCATTTATTTCGTTTATAGCTTCAACTTTATTTATTTCGGACATGTTTTTGAGACTGGATGCGACATATTTGCCAAAGAAATGTTCCATTGCTCTGACATTTTCCGCAGCAGCCTCGGATTCAGAGTCCTTTCTTTTGCGTTTCAAAGGCTTAAGAGAAGAACAGGACTTGGAACGGAAATTATTTGGAGCACTTAAAGAATTTGGAGACTCTCTAAAAATCTAAAACAAGTTAAAAGATAAAGAATATTAGTTGACCTAAAAAATCTTTTTTCCATGATTGACATGAATTCAATTTTAAATTACTATAACTGGTTTAATTTGGCTTAAAAAAATTCCGGAAACATAAACAGAACCCCTATTTATACATGGGAGTTATTGCTGAACCACCGACAGTATTAAAAAAAACATGTTTTATAATATCGTAAAAACCAAAGCTGATTGAGCTAAATGATGGTAATTTTTTTATTCAATGTACCTAATTAGTAATTTCCAGTGGCGGCTGGTGGTTTTCGGGCATATCCATATCTCAGTTATTAGACAAGGGACCCACATCAAATTTATATGAGTTTATAATGACATATAGACAAGTTCTGCGCAAGCAGAATTTGAATTGAAATTTGCGAAAAAAGTTAGTTTTTAAGAGTGCCCCCCAGCCTCCTGCCCCCCAAATTAAGATAATTCAAATTAAAGTGGTACAATATTTAATTCACTGAAGTTTATTGATAAATTTTAAATTTTATTAAAAAAATTCAAGTATTACGGATTTTGTACCATTTCTATTTTTTTTTAAATTTATTAAAAGAAATATTAAAAATTTAAAATGGTATAAAAGCTCTAATTCTTTATTTTTTTAAATAAAATTTGAAATTTGAATGATCTTAATTTGGGGGGGCAGGAGGCTGGGGGTGCACACTTAAAAACTAACTTTTTCGCAAACTTCAATTTAAATTCTGCTTGCGCAGAACTTGTCTATATAATGTCATTATGAACTCATATAAATTTGATGTGGGTCCCATGTCTAATAACTGAGATATGGGTGTGCCCAAAATCCACCAGCCGCCACTGGTAATTTCCCTAGAAAAGCTCGGGGGCCCTGGACCTTTATTGTAAGTATTTTGTATTTTGTATTTTGTATTTTGTATTTTGTATTTTGTATATGTATTTTGTATTTTGTATTTTGTATATGTATTTTGTATTTTGTATTTTGTATTTTGTATTTTGTATTTTGTATTTTGTATTTTGTATTTTGTATTTTGTATTTTGTATTTTGTATTTTGTATTTTGTATTTTGTATTTTGTATTTTGTATTTTGTATTTTGTATTTTATATTTTGTATTTTGTATTTTGTATTTTGTATTTTGTATTTTGTATTTTGTATTTTGTATTTTGTATTTTGTATTTTGTATTTTGTATTTTGTATTTTGTATTTTATATTTTATATTTTGTATTTTGTATTTTAAGACATACAATTTTATTAAAGACTTTATCTATAAAGGTAAAATAAAATACGCATTTTCTATAAAATCTACTACTATTTTTTACAAAAATATTTAATATAAAAGCTTTCAGTTAAAGGATTTTTTGATATAAAAATAAAGTTAGTAAATAAAAAAACTAAAAAAAAATTGGAGAAACAGGATTTCAAAAATCGTAATGAATGTTTATTAAAATTTAAAATTTTTTAACATTAAATAAACAATTTCAGCTCTATTTTTGTTCTTCAAATAATTCGAATACACAAAGCTATTAATAGTACGGAGTATAAAATGTCTTACAATTGACTGCAGTTGTGTTCCATTTCGCCCTTATATTTCATTTTTAGTCATCAACATTTTCTTTTAAATGGTAACAAGTTTTTCAGAAAGAAAAGAAATATTTTTAAAAACTGTGTCTCAGGCACATACCAAAAATAAAGTAAAATAAAGCGGATCATTGCCATCAAATCACTTTCTAGTTTTTCCAAACTTCCATAATCTACATTTTTATTAACGTATTACCCTTGACATTAAAGAAAAAGTAATTTAATTTTATGTTTGGCCATTTTAGCGTTATTCTGAAATATTTAAACTGACAGGTAATTATTTGATAATATCTTAATTATTTTCGTAAAAGTTACAAGTTTTAAAGCTTGAGTATTAAATTATTATTAAATACAATTTTTAGAACATTTCATTATTTATCCAATTATGCTGCTAAGATTGAAGCTAATTGAACTTACTTTAAAATTATATGTTTAAGATATATATTAAGTATATTTACTTATCCATTTACCAAAGATTTCGTCGGAATTTTTACTGTATATATGACATATTAACAAAAGTTGTATACAATTTACCAGCTTAAGTAAGGTCTAATAGATTACCTTATACCATTAGTTTAAATTATTATAATTTAAAAAAATGCTTACCTTAGAATCTGTTTGATCATGTTCCATATCTCTGTCTTGAAAATGAGTCGCCCGCAATGATTCAAATTTATTTTGAATATCACTAAGTGTTATTTCTGGTCTTAAAAACTGCATGTCCTTTAATATACTCTGCTCAGCAAAGTTCCTCATTGTTTTATCGTTGTAAAGTTTGTGATTGGGGTCTATAAGGTAAGGACATTTCTTATAACTTTTCACTAACTGATTAGTTTGGAGTTCATTCCACTGAAACATCTTACAACAAAAATGTATAATTAGGTATATTTTAATGTGGTTAAATTTTAATTAAATATATATTGTATAAATTAAATAGCTTTATTGTGGAATAACTTCACAATAAACAATTAAATTGACTTCAAAAGTCCCAATTTTCTTTATCAACTTTAATATAACGAATAATATAATTAAATATTTGAAAATCCTTAATAAATACAAATTATATATTTTAATTAAATTTAATTATTTATTCTTTATGTGTAGTTCTTTGTTACTGGAGATAAGGTTTATATTAATATTTTTTATTTGTTTTTTATTTATACAGAGTGATTTATTAATATTCAAAAAAATTGATGAGATTCCTTGAAGAAAAATAATAAAAAAATATCAGATTTTACATAATATCTAAAAAATCCTTAGAATAATGCCTTGCCTTAAGTAATTAATATTTTTAATAGGTAAAAAAAGGCAAATTTACGTTTTAGGAAGCTACACCACCAAGTTTAGTATTTTGGCGTTCTTTGCTGCAAATATATTAATAACCTTGTCAGTGTCCATATTTATTTGGTGGTGAATTGACGTAACAACGCTAAAGCCTGATTTATATATTTCCATACGGAAATTTATAAACAGCACTACGGTTTTCATATTGTTCATCTTTTACTGGAGGAAGGAAGGAAGGAAGGCAATCTATAAATCAGGCCTAAACCGTTTAGCCTATCTTTCTTAAGTTTTTACGTTCTTAAATTTAATTTTCTAAAATTTCGGGGAGAATTAAACTCCCTTATACCCTCTTGGGTACGGCCTTGGATTTAACGTATTCAACTAATCAAAAGTTACGATTGGCACATTCTTAAAAAGTGGTCAGTTTCACAGCTAGAAGACTTTGAAGTTGTAATTTTGACTTACAGGGTTTAAGATTTTAAATTTAGTATTTGCAAAGTTTTAATGAACTTGTATTCTTTAAAGCTTTGTTTTATATGTTCCTGTTCTTTATAAGTTTGATTGTATATTTAGATTAGGCAATTTAAAATACAACTTCGTTGAATTTTGCATTTTTTCTCTATCTTGTTTATTTTTAAGAAAAAAATAAATTTGTTTATCCGCTCGTTTCCATAATTTTTCCAGAGGCGAGCGAATAAACGAATTTTATTGTTTTCTTAAAAATTAATCAAAATAGTAAAAAAAATGCAGGAATCAAAAACTTTTTTTTTATTTGCTCAATCGAAAAATAATAGGTACCAAACTTATAAAAAGGAAGAGTTTTTTTTTGAAGTTTTTGAAAATTTTTAAAAATAAATATTTAAACTTTACCACCCTATCTCGAAAACGAAGCTTTAAAACATACAAGTTAATATACTACTAACTTTTTGTGATTAAAATCTGAGATATTATGTACATATATGCATATCATTTAAAAGTTAAAAAATTTTAAAAATAAATATTTTAACTTTACCACCCTATATCTCGTCAATGAAGCTTTAAAACATACAAGTTAATACTACTACTAACTTTCTCTGATTAAAATCTGAGATATTATGTACAGGGTGATCCCCTATAATGTCGCCCCCCTTTAACTTTTTTTATTTTAAGGGTCCCAAAAAAATTAAAAGTGTGGTTATGTGGGAACTAAAAAATACTTTTTTTTTACGTATAAAGAAAATTGGAAAATTGATCAGTATACAGGGAAAAACAAAAAGTTTATTTTTTTTCAATGGATCACCCTATATTTGAATTTATTTTTCGATTCCTTGTAAAATTCTGAGCATAATTTATATACAAACCATAAAAAAAAGTATTTTTTAGTTCCTACATAACCACACTTTTAAATTTTTTGGGACACTTAAAATAAAAAAGTTAAAGGGGGGCGACATTATAGGGGATCACCCTGTACATACATACATATCATTTAAAAGTTGAAAATTTTAAAAATAAAAAAAAATCAAATTTTTTAAATTTCCAAAATTTTGGAAAGTAAGTATAAAAATTTATGAAAAAAAATTAAATTTTAAAAATATTAAAATTCTACCTCTGAAAATGACAATTTTTCGAGGTTGTATCAAGGGTAAATTTTTATCAGTGGGTAATGTTCTCCAATATACGTGAAATCTAGCCAAATTCACCGGGACCCATTTCCCATACGTTCAGTGCGTAGTCCTTTGTTTTTTTGGAAATAAGCAAGATGTAAACAAAAAAGAGGCAAAAAAGTTTAATTTTTAATTATTTCATGTATAAAAAATATAAAACACAAATTAAAAACAGTGGCGTAAAATAAAAGCTAAATTGGCCTCGGGACGCCACTGAAATAAATAATTTAATTTAATTTTATCAAAATATTTTTATACACGAAGTTCTGGACATTATAAAAAAATTGGTTATTTGATAAAAATAGATATTAGGAAAAATTATGTATTTAAAAAAATACTGTGGCAACTAGTAGAATTGTCGAATATCTGCTTTTTTCAAAATTAATTTTTTAATAGAAAAACTAATATTCTAATTATTGACGTGAAGCGAAATGTCAAAATTAAATATTTAATGTCAGTCAAAATAATAAACATTTGTTTTGACTATTTATATGCTTCTCAGAGATAGATATAGTTTATAATTTTTACTTCTAATGATTTTATTTATAATTTAGAAAAACTAGTTATTAATACATCGTTTACGTGAAAATTAAAATGGTCTGAAATAAATAATCACCAATTTTGATGCTTTGATGCTCTTAGTAGCTCTGAAAACGATGCACCTAAGAGCTCGTAGTAGCATCAAAATAGACAAATATTTTTTTTGTTAATTTTGTTAATAAATTCAATTCTTTCCAAAAAGGTCCCTATTTATTATTTCATAAATATTGTGGTTTCAGAGATAATTTAGATAATTGTAATTTTATCTTAAAATTTCGATTATCTCTGAAACTATAATATTTAAGCGATAATTGAAAATAATGTTTTTTTAGACAATAAAATTTACTAAAAATATTTTTCTTTATTTTAATGTTAAGTGCCATTGGATGGCCTTAAATGTCAACCAAACATTTTTTTTCGTTCGTAAATAATTTTTTTTCGCCTTAAAGATTAATATTTTTGCCATTACCTAATTAATTTCGATAATTATTTATGTAATATTTAATCAGGAAACTTTTAAAGGGAAGGTTGTGGTAATACTATTAATAATTTGGCCTCTCAGATCTTACACAATTGAATTTATTTGATAGGGTTGTTTAAAAATGTTTACAGGGTGGTGAAGTTTATTTTATTAGAATTTTACCTAAAGGTAGTTTATTAAAACGATACCATACCGATAAAAACCAAACTTATCATGTTATACTATGTTTATGTGTAGAATGCATTCCTATAAATTCACCCTGTATAAATATTTGTAACTTGTGTCATTATTAAATTATTATATTAATTAATAGATACTGAAAAATATAAATTAAACATGCTTTATTAATATAATTTGTAATTAGCTGTAGCTATACCAATATTTGCAACAAATTATTAATTTAGATAACATATTAAATACTAATATTTGTTTAAAATCATAAAGGCATTTATTCTGCAGAATTTTAATTTAATTACCAATACTTTGTTCTATTTGAAATTAAAAATTATTTTTAACCAAAAAAGAAAATATTGTTGAAAATAGTTATCAAATTAAAAAAAATCAATAGATAATAAAATTGAAAATACTATTTGTTTTGCCTTACTTACCTTTGGCTGCATTTGTATTTATTTTAAAACAATAAAAAACTCTCTAATTCACTACACACCATAAAAAACAGATGAGTACACCGCAAAGGTTAAACTTAAAATAATTGCTGTAGAACAATAAATTTAACTGATTGAATTTAAATTGAAATACTGATTTTATACAGCGTGTCTTATTTATTGTATTGATTTATATAAAAATATAAAATTGAATTATTTTAAATTACATGTACTTATTTGTATATTTTGTTATAAACTGTATTCAAACTGTTTGTATGTCAAGACTAAAATAGTATATTATGCATCACAAGCATTTTAGACACGAATTTAATTTAGGCAAGAGCGAGCGAGTGCTTAAATTAATGAGTGTCTAGAGAAGTTTATAAACGAGGTGCATACTATACTTTTTCTACGACAAATACTTATTATTAACTAAAATGATTTAAATCGTATTTGTATAGAGCGCCATCTATAAAACAATAGGGGAATTTGTATTAATATCAAATTTTAAATTTTTATGTGTTATAAACAGAGACTAAAAAGGTTATAAATCGAAATGTATTTCTTAAAAATGGATTAACAACATTTCTTCACAGTAAAAGTAAATACAATGTTTATGAGCACTTCACAGTGAAGTCCGAGTATGAATTTAAGTTATAGTTTACTGCCGGCGAAATTAAATGATCAGTACAATGTTCATATAAACTTTTCAAATATTGGCGTTGAGAAACTATTTAATACTTTTGTGTTTTTATTGAGATAATAAAGTTATTTTTATATTAGTATTATTTTACAAGAAAGGCACTTTATTTTAATGATTGTATGACATTTGACAACTGTCAACTAAATTAATACTAGTTACACAGGTACAACAATTTATATAATTTATATATAGGTACCTAATAATTAAAAACAATTGAATCGGTGGGATTAAGAACAGTACAAGTCCAAAAGTTAAAATTTCGACAAATTATTTCATAAAATCAGTTTTATAGTTTAAAATGCATTTTTATGAGAATATTTCAACTATTTTATTAAATATAATAATTAAATTTTGTAAAATCTCCTCACAAAAATACATTTTAAAGTTTTTAATTGCTTTTCAAATGATTTGTCGTATATAATACCCCTAGTGGTAAAATTTTTGATTTTTATTAGAATGTTTTTTTCTTGAAAATGTCAGTTAGGTTCCAGCACTTGAGAAGGCACCACGCGAGAGCGAAAGCTCTTAAAACGTAAAAGTTTAAAGATTAAAACCAACAATAATTTTTAAAAAGTGCAAAACCAATTATAGTGAAACAAACAATTTTCATAGAGTGCAAACTAAAATGGTGTAACGGTCAATGAGGAGTAAAGTGTTAAGTGATATGAATGAGTTAAGTGCCACTTGTCATTGAACGCTTTTCACTGGACAGAAAAAGGTGGTCAAACAAGAGGGAAGGTGGCGATCCGCTAAAAAATGATAAGTAACCTTAATGATATGTATGACCTAACACAAAATCTGCAAATTAAACATGGCAGATATCTTTAAAACCCTAAGAAAGGCTAACTGCGTAGGGCAATAAATCTATCAACAACAAATGCGTAAGGCAAACCCAAACGAGACCGATAATAAACACTAGACACACAGAATATACTAACACATTAATCATTATAACCCTAACATATTAAAAAAAGCATAATATCCAAACTGGATTTGTAAACATTATATAACAGAATAATTGCGCTTGTCATCTGTTTAACTAATAAATAAATGCAATACTTAATTTTGGAATTTAAGAAAAAAATACAAAACTCTACTACAAATCGTGCGGACAAAAATTACGCAAACTTGAACGGAAAATACTACGACAGACTTACCTGACTACCATCACCAACATCCCCGCGACCTGCTAATGGGCAAAATCATTACCAAAAGGGTAAGAGTAGCCCAATTAAAATACTGGGCCCACGTCACTCGTAGACAACGCAACAACATACTACAAGCCAACCTTAAAATAGACCTTACAGACAAAAAAGTCGGGAGACCATGCTTCACATTTCATGACACGTTAGCATAAAACATACACTTCTCACAAATTAAAAAGACCATTTGGGAGCAACTAAGCAACAATAAAAATAAAATAAAAAAACAACTGACACACTTTACCAAGTGCAGGAACTATCTGATCAGGACACGGACAATGACAATAACGAACAAGACGAAGACCTCGACTAGGAAACTACACCCCTGCAGCGAAATAACAACTTCCCAACTCCAAATAGTAATCCCAAATGTTTGAAGTAATACTAATCGACTGGTCTAGAGGGATTCCGCGTCGTACTTAGTTTTAAGTCGGCGTAATTGTCCCCCAAAAACCAACAAACGTCTATCCCTCCCGTCTCTCCTCCTCTATACCCTACTGGGCGTATAGCATTGGCTCGGCGAACCCGAGAATGGCTATTAAAACTATTCGCATGTCGCTCTCGAGCCCCAAATAGTGGACAGTACGGAACGCAATGGACGGGTAAAGCCGTGCAGTTGCTGGGGGCGAACAAAAATCGGCGTAAGTAAACAAAGGCCTGTACGGGGTCCGGGAGTGATGAGGCAATGGGGCTGGTTATACGTCTCTTATACTCATATTCATACTCAATGTTTTTTTCTTAAAAATGTGTGTGGCATTAATTTTTAAACCACGATTCGCTAGGCCAGGAGCGAAATTTTCATGGAAAAATCTTGAGTAAATAAAAATCAAACATTTTTTCAGGAAAAATTTTATCACGAGTGGTATTCGGCAAGGCTATTTCACAATTTTTTTTAAATTAGAATTAACTGCCGATTCAATTTCTGTATGACTTTTTTGACCAAAACGCATGTTTTTTGACATTTTTATTTTAAAATTAGAAATGACAACATTGACAATTATTTTTCACATAGCAACCAATTGGTTGGATAAACGAGTGGTTTTCACCTAAATAGTAGTTTTATCGTTGCAAAACTGAAAAAACACTCGTTTTCTGAAATCTGATTGGCCCATAAAGTAATGAGTGGAATAGTCAAAATAACAATTTTGGACATGTACTCTACTTAATCTCACCGATTCAATTAAATTAACTAGGTAAGAGAGTTATAGACCTCTCAACTTAATGTCACCTGAAAAATAGCAAGCTCAGCGTTAAAGATAATAAATAAAACAAATGTTTAACATAATTATTTTGTCTTTATTAACCTGTAACAATAAAGTCTCTGTATAGAAATTAAATTGTTTTGAAAATTCTTTTCGTGGTACCGTAAATAAAAGTGGCACAGTCGATAGGCTAGTGAAGGGTTAATTTTAGTGAACTATGATCGGCAACGAAAAGGTCGTGTGAAAATCCCGTTCGTTTTACGGTTAATTCACTAGGTATACTCACGTTCCAATATTAAACAAAAACAAGCTGTGTAAGCTTGGGAGGAGGATAAAAATCTTCAATCACTAAAACCCTGGTGAAGGACAAACATCGCCAATACCATTTAGGTTAAGAAGATCTAAGGAAATAATTAATTCTTCCTATGCCTAAAGGCAACTTTGACATAAAAATATTTGTATTAACATTATAAGTGCCCAATCCATTTATATTCCTTTTATATCCTTTTGTTATTTGACCTAAATAGTAATTACTCCACAACTTCAACTCGTCAGAAGGGATATCCCTTATGACATGAAGTTCTTAGCCAAAAACTACCTTGAGAGCAAGATAATACCTTGTCTAAAGGACAATAAGCCTGGCGTAGATTGGGTGGATATCCACTTAATTACTCTCTAAAAATGAATTAGTCAAAAACTACAGTTATTAGTGGCTGCTTTTTTACTTATACCATCGCATACCATGCCGATATAATAGCCAGTTCTTATGTTAAATTTTCCGCATTATCCGAAAATGTTATAAAAGTAAAACAGTTTTTAAGATATATTCAATTTTCGATATAATATGGAATTGGCTATTATATCGGGGATACCATGCTATCCCATGGTATACCATGGTATAAGTGAAAAAGCCACTAATAACTGCAGTAATTAGACATTTTTGACTTATTCATTTTTAAAAAGTAGGAACAAATCCGACATGTGCAAAAGGGTCGCTGCAAACATTAAAAGAGATATAGCTACAGTCAGCGTAGAGTCGTTGAAAAAATATTTTAATAATTTAAAAACAACAATAGAACATGTCCCTTTGTCCCATTTTTATAATTATGGACAAATATGGCGGACGATCCTTTAAAGAAATTTAAAATTTATAGATGAGGTGTAAAGTATCCCGAACAAATCTGTAATCTTTCCAAATCTGCCAAGACAATTCTGATATATGTTTCGGCTTCAGGCGTACTACTTTCGCCATAAATAATATACAGATCTACAAAGATGTGGAATACATGGACAGAAAATTGTTCAAAATGTAGTCCTTGTTGCGAATATAGGTGCAGTAGTGTAGATAAAATGTTGAGTTGTTTGTTACCACATACAAAAATATTAGATGAGAAAAAAGTCATCATTGGTGACAATTTGGCCGCAAATTTCACGTATGAAGTTCTTAAGTGTTCTTGGTTCCCCTTTCAACTTACCTTACACAGGCTCTTGATGAGTTTTTTTCAGGCCGATAAAAATGGAGGACAAAAATCCAAAGATGGGTGGCTTGCCTAAAGGAGAATTTTCCAGACTTCTTTAACAAACTTTAACTGAAAAAAATTACCTGGGCGAAGGCGAAGCAATAAAATAATCCTAATTAGTGAAATTGTCGCGACTGGAGTTTATCCATATAATCGTAGGGTCTTATAAAAAATTCCGGGATATGTTTAAGAAAGTTTGAGGATTCAAGTATCACAATAATTAAAAAAAAAATATTAAACTTCGTTCCAGGTAAAAGCGTAACGCACGATACAGAAATAACCATGAAAAATGAAACTATAAACGATGAAAATAACGAAAAACAGGAAGAAAACAATACAACAAAGAACAGAAGGAAAACAAAAACCTCAAAACTAAATCATCCGTAAATTTGGAAAATAGTGACTTAAAAATTGGATCCTTTGTTTTAGGTAAAAAGAAAACTGTCAATACAAATGTTGA